CCAGAATTCGTGAACGCATTAAACAGCACTGATCCCAACACTGTTATTTGGGAGGCTCCACTATCTACTACTTCTTATTCTGAGAACTGAACATTTTTACCCATTATTTTATTTTCTATTCTTAAGATAATTTCTGAGCCACAAATGCATTCTATCCCCCTGCCCATGACCACCTAAGTTCATTAGGAGTCCTTGATATATGATGATGTTGCTGAAGGGTTTTTAAAAGTCCAAATACACTGTATTGACTAGATCAGCCTGATCTCCATGCTTGTCCAGCTGGGTAAAGAACTCTAGGTTACTGGGAAGGCAGACAGATAGTTTACAGACCCTTTTTTCCCCCATGCTTTCCCCACCCCCAGCTACTTTTTTTTTGCCTGAGCCATTACACCCATTGTTGTCTGCTTTGATAAATTGTTTGTGCAAGACCCTGCCATGTTGTTATAGTTTAGTTTAGAAGTCAAAGTGCAGTTTTAAGAAGCTAACCGTTGTTTAAGCATCTGTTTTTAACAGTGTAAGTCTGAGTGCTTCTGAGGTTCCAGATGCATCATCTACTTTGTTGGCAATCTTCCCTGTATTGGTTGGACACCAGCACAAATTTATACTGTATTATCTTGCATCCTACACATACCGTTTTTTTCCAAAATTCAGCAGCTGGAAATTGGTGCATGCATTATAAACAAAGGAATACAATAACAGCAGTTTCTGCCTCTGCTGGGAGAAACAGCTAAAGTAATGCTGCAGTACTGTACATAGTGCTCCCTCCTTGCTGCGTATGGAAACTATCTCTTCTTCCTCCTCCCCACCCTCCACCCTTCCCCATTGGCAGAAGCTTCAGCTGTAGAAGCCACTATTCAGTTATTTACTTTTCCTTACCAGTATTTTGAAGGAACGATCTTCCTATGTTCATTCTGTTTTTCAAAAATAATATGCACATGTTGTTTGGTTGTATGTTGTGTACAAGAAAATATAGTGTTTGAATGGCATATATCATATGACAGCAAAGTGTCCACAAGGAATCATTATACAAGAAACCTTCAGTGCCTGTAAAAAAGTTTTTCTTTCTAAATTGCCTAGATGCATAGGCTTTTCCACTTTAGCCTGCATATGTCAATAGAGGAATCTTTGAAAGAAGTTAGTCTAAACAGCAGTAAGTCCCCTTCAGCTGAATCCAGATGTTACCATAAATTCAAAAGATGGGCTTTTGAAGCTTAGGTATAATTTTTTATATCAGAGATTAGTTTGTTTGTTTTTTTTCCTCCCTCTTCTCAATCCAGATGACTGTTCTAGAAACTCAAGTTCACATTAACAGAGGGCCATATTATCTCCAGGCATTCCCTCTGAGCAGTCTTTGTAATTTCTCTTTGCTGGGTCTGTTCTATGAGAAACTTAATTTATTTGAAAAGAGATTTAGCAAAAGTAAGATATGTACTAAGCTATTAGGCCTCTTCCTTCATAAAAAGGGTTCTTTCTTTCCTGTTCCAGTCCCAGTTTTCATTGGTCAGTCCTCTGAATATCAAAGCCATCAAAAACATCTCTCTAGTCAAATATGGTTATGGCATAGACCATTTTCCTGGACATCTGCAGCCCCAGATGCAAAAATCCAGAGGAACCCTGCACTAAGTCTTATCCCTTCCCTAGCTTAAGTTTTAATTCATAACTCCAAAGCTGTTGCTGGTACCTCTTTAATCAACTAGAAGAGAGAAGTAGATACTAGTGTAACATAAGGTCAACATAGTGTTACACTCAAACTTAGCAGCCTTTCTTCTGTTCTGCATTTGCATGTGGCCTATATTCTCTTCTTGTTTGCATGTGGCTTCTGCCTTACAGAAATACCTGTCTGTCAATTTAGCAGTTTTTTTCAAACTTCTACATGTCCAGGTTCTATTAATGTCTAAACACATATTTAAGAATCTGCCTTTGGAAAATTTAATCTATAATTTTTAGATGAGGGCATCTCACTAGGGTATTCCCTAAACTGGATATGTAGTTCATACTTAATATGCATAGTCCAGAGGATTAACATTTATGAAAAATTGGAAGACTTTTTAACAATTCAAAACTTGAATACAGAATGTTTCACAAACCATGCAAATTTACCTCCTTGCAGTGCATACCTAAAGGATAAACACTCTAATATTACCTTTACTGGTGATAAACTGTTTAGTAATATTTATCTATTTCTAGTACTTGGCACTTAAAAATATTCTAGAGGTCTTATTCCACAGTCTTTAAATGAGAAAAAACTAATGTTAATGAATCAAGTGGGAGTTTTTATTCCTTAAAAAATAAAGGTTGTTACTTTGCTAAGGTAGGTATGTTTGTAATAATTTCATCTAAAAACAATCAGTTTTTAAATATTATATCTTTTGCATATTGAATGTATGAATGGGATAATTAGTATAATTGATATTGATAGTGATATGGATATAAATTGATACTGATACTGTTTCTTTTTCACTGCAGGTGTGGGATGGCACAAAATGTTCCTACCAGTCCTGGAAAGTGCCTGTGGAATCGAGGGATCTTGAAGGAGATAAAGTTCTTATTCATAAGCTGAGAAATCTGACAGTAGACATTCTAGTTTATGATAACCATGTCCAATTGGCAAAATCACTGAAGGTAACCTAAAACTAAGCATTTCTAACTTTTTAGTTTACTTGAGGTTTCACTTCATACAAGGCAGCAGTTCATTTCTGCTAGTAATTAGATAGTTTCAAACGTGGGTTTTAGCTTTACAATCTTTCCTGTCCCTGCTATTTCAGTTCAAACCTCCTTCAGTGTGTGTGAAACAGCCTCATTACCTTGCAACTATCATGAAGAAGGATCCTTCCAATTAAACAGTTTTTTTTTCCAGAGACCGTAACATATACCTCTGAAAATTATGCATCACTGAAAATATTATATGTTCAAGAAATGAAAATGTATTTCTTAAAAGTGACGTAAAGTGGAGTTAAGTTTGTAGACCCCTAAAGTGTTGATTGTAGTCAGAAGAGGGCGTGGTTTATTTGGTGAACTCTGTTGCATTCTGCAATACACATTTGTTTTAGTGGGTCAGTAATGATTATGCTTACATGGGGAAAAGAACAACATAATTAAACATTTGATCTTTAGCAACAGTGCCATCTTGCTTTGGAATAAAATAGATTAGTATAAATCTATTTATGGCATAACTTGTGTAAATATCCGATTTGAGATGTAAAATCTATCAGAAAATGAGGATAAATGAGGGGTTTTTGTTGCAAATATTAATCCAATTTTACAAGTATATTTAATTTATTATATTAATACAGTCATAAAGAGATGTTTCATGTGCATGTGATATAACAAAATGGTTCTCACTGATGCTTATTAAATCTGGGTGTTAGAATTGTTTTCATTATTCTTAATTTTTTTCTATAACCTACATTTTGCTAGCTGATGTAGATTCACTGCAGAAGCAACATGGAACAGTTGTTTAGATAATTAAGGGAAACGGGTATATTTTTTATGTGTTTTAGGAAGATTTATTTTGCAGAACATTCCTGGGTGTGTCTAATACTACCCACAGCGATGATGTTTTAATAGAACTTGTGTGCATCCAAATCTTAAAATGTAAGAACATACCACATGAAGTGCTTTCACTAGCTGCCTCAACTTCTCTGGTTTCCTTTTTCACTTGCTCCTTTATCTCCTACACCTGTATCTTCAGTAGACAGAAAAGGTTCTTTGGGTAAATATCATATCTTTTATTAGACCAGCTGAATAATTGGGGAAATTGTTTTTTACAAGCTTTTGGACACACGCTCCCTTCTTCAGGCATAGGAAGAGTCTGCTGGTGTTTGTATACTCTGCTGGGTAGAATAGAAACTTAAGCCAATATGCAAAATACAGGTCTGTGAAAATGAAAATGTGAGGCAGGGAAGACCAGAGGGGATGGGAGTTAATAGGTGTGAGACAGGTAGGTGAGGGGAAAAAGAGAGGAGTGTAGATCAATGA